TATAAAAAATAGTATATTAGTATCAAAATAGTAAAGTTATCTAAAATACTCATAAACAAGCTCTCGTACCTTCTTGGTGTTTTGTGAAGATACACCTAAATAGTTATTGAATAAGAAAAAGTATGTGCGTATATATATACACAATGGTAACTAATTGCATCCATGAAGAAACTAAAGCCACTATTTTATAGCTTAGAAATAGTGTGTACTTGACTTTTAACAACATGCAATTAATCACTATTCTATAGCTTAGGAATAGTAAAAAGTTAACGGTTAACAACACTACTATTTTATAGTTTAGAAATAGTATAATTTTCCTTTGGTTTGTTATTGTTTTGACTTTCATTCTCATTAATTTCCCTTTGATTTTTTTACAAAAATAATGAACTTGTTTATTTGCATGACTTTTATTTTAGCAAAATTTATGTGATTGGCATGTTAGTCTTACTATAACTTATGAGTATAACGTAGTTTAATTATTAGTTTTTATGCAAACGCTATTTTATTATTTTATGAAATAATGATAATAAAACACATTAAAATTGACAAAAAAATAAAATAAAAAAGAGAAGCAATCTTAAATAGTAATAATTCTATATAAATATAATAAGTGGAAATAAGGTGGGGAGAACGTTAATTTAGAACTTATTAACCTTGAACTTATCTGAACTTATTAAACCTGAAATAAGTGAAAATGGCAGACCCTTAGTTGGCGATGTTGATAAATTATTATTTTTTCTTGGATTCCTTGATTGAGTTTGTTCTGAAATCTCTGTGATATCGTTCTACTTTTAAACAATATTTTCTCTTTCCTTTTCCTTTTCTTGGTCATCCCATTTTCAATTCTCCTTCATTGAATGATCATTTATACGTAGTATAATTTATACATACCATCCTACTCTTCAAACACAATTTTTGGTAATTTGATTATCTAATTTATAAGCTTTGGACTTAGTTTTTAAAAGATGGCCAAGCACAAGGCATAATGATGATGCTTTGGCGCCTTAGCTCTTTGAGGCTCAAAGACCTAGATAAGGCGCGTGTCTTTGTGCTTTTTTCTAAGTTACTTCTTGTGCCTTTGCGCCTTATATTGCACTTTATGTTTTAAAGCATCAATAGCTATTTATTTTCCCCAAAGTATACCATGAGACTTTGTTATGGGCAGGTTTTCTTCAATTCTAATGGAGAGAAAAATCCCATATACTGTAATTCGATTTGATAAACTCTTGTTATTGATCACATGGCCCTTTTACCTTTTCTCATATTTTCATTTTTACACTTATTTAATAAAAAATATTATTTCTTTTCTATATGAATAAAGTGCGCCTCACCTACAAAAGGCGGGCACCTTCGCCTTGCGCCTAGGCTATGAGGACTCTTTTCGCATTGCACCCTTTAAAACTAAGGCTTTGGATTGTGAACTGTATCCAATGAAGATACATTTTTCACCTCGATTATCTAACTTCTTTCTCTATGCTTTGGGTATTTTAGCATAGGCTATGCACTCAAACACTCGAAAATGTTCTAACATTTGGGTTCTTAGTTCTCACCACTCCATGCTTCTTGTGGAGTTATATTCTTCACACTTTTCGTTGCACAACGATTTAGAATATAAGTTGTGCATATAACTTCTACCCAAAATTGCTTCAGTAATCCTTTGTCTTACAAGATGCTTTGCGTCATGTCTAAAATTTAATGTATACTCACCCCTCGATTTTAGTGTGTTCAATTTATATCCGCTCTCTAGCTTCACTTAAGCCACAAATTGCACAAATGTATCAAATTGTACCTCGGTGTTAAGTTGCAGCGGAAACATGTGATTCTTCGCCATTTTTTATTTAGCAATAAGTCTTCCACTTTTATCTTTAAGGGTCCACCTGGATTCCAAGAACTAATTAAGGGAGTAAAAAAAAAATGGGGCAAAAATTACACTAGGGTTTGTTATGGGGTGATATTTACTTTTTCAAGAGTTAAAAGCAAAACTTTCTTTCGCTTCATCCTCCATGGCAAGCAAAGCTTGAAATAGAGCTACACCATTGAACGGACCACCAAATCAACCACCTTATAAACCCAATCCCACCTTGCAAACTACCATTAATGCCCTGCTTATCAAAAATAAACAGCACATCTTGAAAAATAAAAAAAAGGAGAGGCGAAAGAAAGAAAAAATTCATCAAAAATATTTAATGAAGGTATAATTCAACTCCTTCGTGGTAAAGTTTGAGCGTGAAGGTTGTTGATCTGATGAAATTATTGGTCAATTTTGACCGCAAATGAGTTAAATTTAACACAACTTGTTCATAAAAAATGGAGTAAAGATGAGACGACGATAGAAGGGAGATCGTGGTTGTAGTCGGTAAGAAGCCATGGCACTGGGTGGCGGCGAAAGGTTGAAGATGGGCTGGTGCCTGGTCGTAGGAGATAAAAGAGAAAGAGGAGAGAGAAGGAGGAGAGAGTAGTTGTTGAGGGGAAAATCATTATCCTTGGGGCCTGGGTAATTTTTACCCCTATTTTTAGGGGAAAAGCATTACCCTAGGAGAGTAGTAGTTTGTCTTGTCGATTTTTATTTTTTTCTTTGATCTAGTAACAATGTAGGACTTTCCTCATTGTTTTTTGAAGATTAACGTAATTTGAACGATTTCCCTAATCCTTTTGTTTCCTCCAACACTCGATGCACAATGTCCATATTTTTGATGATAATAGTATTGAATGTATTTTGTTTTACCACATTCTTTGAAATTCCTTCCTTTGTTTGACTCTCTTCCATGGCCAAAATTTCTCTCACTACTTTGGTTGTAGTTACCACGACCTCTTCCTTGTTCACAAAATCCACGTCGTTGATTTCCACCTCTTTATTCATTTGATGACAACTTTGATTCAAGAGCATGTTCTATCACGACTAGTAAATCATTATTCTTAATTCTTTGTTCATGCGCTCGAAGCGATCCAAGAAGCTTTTCCATTGATAATGTATCAATGTCTTTAGATTCTTTAATTGAAGTTAATACATGTTGAATCTTTTATTACAAGATTGTAGTACTTTCTTGACGATCTTAGCGTCTTTAATCATTTCTCTATATGTTTTTGCTGGTTAACATATGTCATTTTGATATCTTTAAATTCACCTCGTAATGCTTGTAAACGGATTTTTCTAACTTTCTTAACTCCTTTAAATATTGTTGCGAGAACATCCTAAGCTTCCTTGCTTGTGGTTGCATTCGAGGTTTTCACAAATGTTTCGCGGTCTAATCCTGCATAGATAAAAAATAATGTGCTTTAATCTTTCTTCTGATTTTCTGTAAACTCGTCTTTCTTTTTTTTAGTCAGTGCCGCTTTTGTCTCATTTGTTGATTTTTCAAACCCATCATTAACAATTTCCCACAAATCATGAGACCAAATAATGCTTTCATTTTAATGCACCAATCTTCATATTAGTCTTTGGATAATTGGGGTACTTAACCTCGCTCTGATACCTAATATAGGAGTAACACAATTTATGAATTGTTAACTCAAATAATAAAAAAGATAAATGAAGGAGAAGCAAATATGGGTTGCAACCTAAGATAACTAAATTTCAATTATGTGGAATATATATATTCATCAAATACAAGACAATAAAGAGTCCATTTATGTAGGAGTTACAAAAAGAAGTAAAGTCATAGGGAGTTACAAAGGGAGTCATAAACGTTGAGAGAGTTACAAAATAATAATGGATATTCAATATAGTATTTTACAACAGTTCATACTTTTTAGTCATAGTTAAATCATTAATCACTTTCCTCCACTACCTATCATAGGTTTATAGCATGTGTAAATGATGTTAAAACAATTTGCAAAGTTGTTTGATCATCATCTAATGCAGTAGTTGAATGCTACAATTCAAACAATACACGCTACATTATCAAGCAGCTCACACCATAGAATAAAAACTCGGTTGTGACATCGCGATGCGGCCAAGATGTAATGGATTTGAAGCTTGTCGTTACGAGATTTACCGTTTTGTAACGGAATTTTAAAAAACACCGCATTTTCGGTTGATACGGCCGATATATAACTAAACCCCCCCCAAAAAAACTTAAATCCGTGAGTTGGTTGGAGTTAAAGAGGTAGACTCCATTGTTGCCGGCATGTCGCAAGCTGTATAACCGCATAGAGAAATAAAAAGAGAAAAAAGAAGAAAGCGAAAGGTTGAGGGTTGATAAGAACGAGGTAATTTTGTGGTTAGGAGTCTTGGGATAGTTATTATTAATAAAAGGTGGGATAGTTGTGTATTTTTTACTTTTTACTTTTTATTTTTGACTTTTTGACCCACTCAACCTCTCCTTTTAACTATAGTATTGTAATTACTTCATACGAAGTGCTTTATTGCTTTGTTTTTTTTTTAAAAAAAAAACCCTATATTACTTTTTCAGCTCTTATTATTATTATCTATATTTTATGATAAATTGAATTTTAATCTATTTAGAAAGAAAATATCTATAAAAAAAATTTAGACAAATTATCTAAAAATTTAATCATATTATCTAAAAATATTTTTTCTTTGATATTTGTAATAATAAAAAATCCTACCGCGATGACTACTATGCGGTCCGCGATCAACGCATCGATTCCGTTACCGTATCACCGCGACTGTTCCCGCGATCGCGACCGATACCACATTTCTATTCTATGGCTCACACTAACTGAGCTAGCGTTGGTGTGTCATGCAATGACAATAAAATGTAGTTTAAGCTTTTTTTATTATTATTATTTTGTATTTATTTATTTATTTATTTTTATCCATGGGGAAGGCTACAGCCCGAGTAGCCCACCCTTGGATCTGTCCTTGACCACTGGAGCTGCATTTGATTCTCTTCTTTTGCTTCAACACTGTATTCTTCACAAATCTTGATGTTAGTTTCCTATTTGATGTGCTAGATACCTGCTTTTTTCCTTGTAAATGGATGCACCATAATTTTACCAATAACACTGATTCTGTGATGGCATCTATATCATGTCAGGTCTGTCAGAAACAAAGCATTGTCAGCAGAGAGCCTTTTACTGAGGGTAAACTGCCATTTTCTGGCCTCATAATTTTTCAACACTAAATCTACAAAATGCTGTTAGAATTGCTGTAAGGGGTTGTGACAAATGTTGATAGTGCCTGCTTGTCATGTTATTTTATTATCTGGTTATATTCTATACAGGTTACCATAGTCTCAGTCGAATATCTTCTGGAGGTATGGATGTTATGAATGGAAATGTTCATTCTGGGGCGCTGCCTCCTTGGCTTGAAGGATTTGAGGCCTGTAATGAGCATGAGCAATCAAGAGGGCCGAAGGTGAATGTTACTGAAAAGAATAGGAAAAAGACCAACAAATTGAACCCAAAGAGAGTAGGGGCTGCATGGGCAGAGAAAAGGAAAGCAGAATTGGAGATGGAGAAGAGAGGAGAGATAATTGCTAATTGCTCTGATGCTAACTGGCTACCTAACTTTGGTGGGGTTTGGCAATCAGGCAGCCGAAAAGAATCAATGAAAGAATTTAAGAAGGAAAAGCTAAATGTCTTGAAAGCAGAAAGTAAAGTTGAGTCTGAGATGAAGTTGCATCCTTATATCAGCAAACGGATGGTAAATTCTTTGCATAGCCTTCATATCTTTTGTATTGGCTGCCTATTTTCGTTGTGAAATATTTTATACTTCTTTTTGGTCTCGATTAACCAATTTGATGATTCCCTAGTTGAATCATCGTCTGAATTTTGGCCCTCCATTTGTTGTGGAAAATAATGCAACTCTTAATTATCAAGGAAGAGGAGAAAAGAAAGTCTTAAGATAATTTTTATCCCTGACCAGCAACATTAACATGAAGTGGGTATTTGGTGGGTTGTGCCACTCCACAACCACAGTCCAACTCACCACAACCACCACCACCACAACAGCTACCTACACAATCAACGCATCCCCTTCACCGCCAGACCAACACCATTTATCAATGAACGCCCTATTTTCCTCTAATTTGAAATAGGCAAGCAAAGGACAATTTATCAGTGAACGCCCTATTTTCCTCTAATTTGAAATAGGCAAGCAAAGGAGAGAAAAAAAAAAGGAAAAAAAAAAAAAGAAAAAAACCACTGCCCACCAAGCACCATCAAATGTGAGCATAAATTTTAACAAATTCGAGTGCTTGGAAGTCGAATTCGACTATGGTGGTTTTAGATGTGGAACCTTCTAAATTCGATCATAAAGCCACGATTTTGGTAAATGTTGTTGAGTATTTGCGGTGAGGACACTTTATGGTGAGGGTGGTGGAGATGGTAGAGGAGTGATGAAGGATGGTGGTGTGAGGTGAGATAGGATGAGTAATACTATATGGGTATATGGTTTTATTAGGTACAAAAGATGAGGGTAAATAAGGGGAAGTAGAGTCTAAAAATTGCCCAAAGAGGAAACAGATCAAGTAAAAAGCCTAAAAAGTAATACAGGTCAAGTAATAAAGAGCGGAGGAAGTGTATCCATTAGACCCTCTGTCTGGAATATAGCATAGCTATCTACTTCATATTAGTAACAAGTGTGTACTTGATACTTAAATGAGCAATTTTGGTTTTTGTGTAACATACTCCCTCTTTTCTTATGTAAGTGTATCTCTTGTATTTTCACAAAGTTTTAGGCAAGTAAATTAAAGTGAATGTTTTAGTGTGCTAGTGGGGTGAAGTTGGAAATTTAAAACTTCCGAATAAGGCAAGTGATGCACTTGTTTTAAATTGGAGGAAGTAATTTAAAACCAGAAAATTCTGAAAAAGTGTGTATATGTAAATAATGGATATTCCTGTGTTGATTTACGCAGCATACTAGTAGTGTTTGGATAGAAATCATAAAGGGAAAGAAAGTAGAGAGAAGGCGAAGGGAAGGAATGAGCTTGCAATTTCCTTCCAAATATCTTCAACAGTGGGAGCATTTTGAATATTGATAGGGGAAGTGAAAGGAATCTGTCCAATCCCCTCTCCTCCCCTTCCCCATGTCATATCCAGAAAAGGGATAATAATCCCTCACTTACGAGTTATGACTTCCTTTTGCTTCCATCCCCATCCCCACCCCCTCCCTCTCCCCCAAACACCAAAAGCCCCTACCCTACGTTGGTGGATAAAATGTTGCATAAATGGATACTATAATGGAATTGTCGTAAAACTCTGAAATTATTATTGCCACCCCACAGTTAAATTTTGTTCTAATTATATCGTGTTAGATTTGTGGCTCTGCCTTTTATTTTAATCAAAGAATTTATCCTTTTATTTTTTTATTTATTTTATTCTTTAAACAGCGGCAAGATACAAATGACAATTCCAAAGATGTTCAGAAGACTGGTGATTTCTCCTAATACTGATCAACTCCTGGTAATGAGTTAGTGAACACTGTACAATTGAGGATTGTGATGTTTTATTGGTATGTGGTGTTACTGGGTTGTGTGTTAAGCTGAAAGCTGCAAAGTCATTTTGTTTAGAAGACCGGTGATTTCTCCTAATATTGATCAACTCCTGGTAAGGAGTTTGTAAACACTGTACAATTGAGGACTGCGATGTTTTTTTTGGTACATTGTGTTACTGGGTTGTGTGTTAAGCTGAAGCTGCAAAGTCCATTTATCCTCATGGTAATGTGTAGCTGTAAAGTCCATTTGTCCTCATGGTAATGTGAAGCTGCTAACAGTGCTAACAGAGGTTTCCATTTACTAATTTGGAATCATATTGTAGTATAGTGATCTAATTTAAATTGTCAAAAATCTGTACTGGATATGATGTTTTGTGATCATACAAGTTCTTATTGAATCTTTTGAGTATATTCTTTAGATGATAGATGTAAGTGTCCCTCTGTGTTAAGCGGAGTGTACATTCATGCGTTTTTTCCTGCTATATCTCTAACCCTTTAAAAAGAGGGAAGCTCTCCAACATGAAAGGAATAGTGATGTGAGTCTATAGTCAATCATGTAAAAGTTGCTAGTGTTTCAAACTTTCAACACAGAAACGTGGAAGAAATGATATGCTATACTACACTGCACATGTAAATAATAGTCTTACATGCCTCTAATTTTTATAAGTTACTATCTCAGATGCACCTATCTTGTATACAGGTTTCATTCAGTCATTCGTGGTGGGTGCCACTGATGGATAAATCTTCTGCACTCCTGTTGACTCCTTTGCATGTCATAACACCATATAGAGATTGTTTTCTTTGCTGTAAAGTGTAATACGTATGATGCACTTTCCTGCTTGTAAACTCATTTGCAGCGTGATCAAATCTGCACTGTATAAGATGATGGAATAGCCACTTATGTTTTTTGTGATCAAGAACAAAAGCTGGTGGAATGCCATTGCTGACCACCTTTAATCTTGAAATTCCAGTATCTCCCTTTTGATGAATCTAAATTTTCTTCACACAGGAACTCCCGGGAAAACCATTTTTCTATCATCCGGTCTACGTCATGTAATACCACATTTGTTGTGATATTCCCAGCTCTCGCTATCGTACTTGATGTGTAGATAGCCGTCATCCTTCCGGGTGCTTCTGGTCGATCACTACCTGGTCCATCAATAAGTATCACATCCCATATGCTTCTATAGACCTCATTTGGCAAGTTTGTTAGTGCCAATTTGCAGCTTGATGTTTCTATAGGCCCAGAATTAGGTGCACAGGCAGCTCCATCTCTTGCATGTTTTAGCAATCTGTATGCTTCTTTGGCCTTCACATCATAACTGACCTTGTAAATCCTGGTGCTGTTTGACCTTCTAACTCTTACTTTTTCAGGGGTGTCCTCCAGAATAACAGTGGTTCCTGCAGAATTAATCTTTGCCAAGCGACGGTATTGGGGTTCCCAACCAAAGATTAGAAGGTTGCAGGGTGCCCTCTGAGTGATGATGTCTGATAGAAACCGATATTCCTTTTTTGTGATCGGATTTCTATTTGGAGGAAGAGTGGAAGCCCTTGTATGGGATGTAGCTTCCTTGCAGCTTGATTCTGATAAATTGCACGTCTTTAAAAAACCTGCCCATCCAGAGCGTGGTGATGGAGAATAAGAGGATGGACATAGAAGCAAGGACGAAAACAAGTATGTGGATTAATCTCTTACTTGTGAGAGTGATTTCCATTCTTTTCAGCTGCCTACGTTTGGTTGAATCCGAGGAGTTTACAGTTGATCTGGGCAATACTGGAGGACAGATCTGGGGAGTGTGGCAAGCGGATGAAGTCTCTGGAGGCATTATTTTCTTGTGATGTATTCTACTATTAATGAAATGAGATATAGCATCATATTTTCATGATGTGGAACTTATGAAGCTTTCAAAACTGATGGGTAGTTATGTTGATGGTGAGGCTTGGGTTATTTTTTTTGACCAAATGAACATGATTTGGCTTCCATTCCAAGAGTTCTTTTTCTGTTATGCTTCTTGCTTCCCACCTAATTTGCTGAAGGCGTTGCCATATTTGTGGGATTCAACCGCTACATTAAAACATACTTGTATTTAAGTTAGGAAATCATAGTACTCAAGTGTTTTGGTATCACTTTTACATCAGACGGTTGTTAGATTGATTGAAAATGAAGGTTTCTGCCAAACTTAAAAGCTCACTTTAGGTTGTTTAAGGCTCTATTTGGTTTGATAGAGAATAGAGGAAACTATTGCTTTTTTACTCTTAAAAGGAAGAGCTATTCTTGCACTCTGTTTTCCACAGCTTATCGTCCAAATACTTCATGCTCGATTAAAACATACAATTACATGATCTGATGTATTGCTGCAGCTATTGCTCATATAGATTTATAAATTCCCGCATTAATGCATTGATATAAACAAGAGACGAATTTATAGACAGCCAAACAATCTAAATGTGGTTTGATTTATTGGGTCAAATATCGTTTTCAAAGCAACTGATTGCCATCATCATCTTGTAGACTTGTGCTAACAAAAAAGAGCCAACGAGTGTATTTCGCAAGAGAACATACATAGCTCAAAGACCACTTTTGTGAAATCTTTGAGCTAATCATCCATAGTAATACCTCAAAAACAACAAAAAAGTTTTATCATAGTAGTAGCAAGCAGCATGTGAACAACAAACTAACCTAAAGAGAACAGTCATAACCTCTCTAAACATATTATTATACATACAGATTTAAGCATCATCATCGATAATGCGATTAATAAGATGTTCTTCCATCACCCTCATTAATGATATCTTTGAAGGCGGCACCACTTGGGATCATAGGCAGCACATGCTCTTGATGAGGTACAATCACATCCAGCAGGTATGGCCCCGGAGTATCCAACATTTTCTGCATGGCAGCCCTCAACTCGCTCACCTTGGTAACACGGGCAGCAGGAATATCACAGGCTTCAGCGAATTTGAGCATATCGGGGAAGATTTCAGCCTCTTTGGCAGGGTTTCCAAGGTATGTATGCGCTCTATTGGCTTTGTAGAATCTGTCTTCCCATTGAACCACCATACCTAAATGTTGATTGTTTAAGAGCATTATCTTAACAGGCAGGTTTTCCACCCTAATAGTAGCTAATTCTTGCACATTCATGATGAAACTCCCATCCCCATCAATATCGACAACCACTGACTCTGGTCGAGCCACAGCTGCTCCAATGGCAGCTGGTAGCCCAAACCCCATGGCTCCTAAACCACCTGAGGTCAGCCATTGTCGAGGGTTTCGATACTTGTAATGCTGGGCAGCCCACATTTGATGTTGCCCAACACCAGTACTTATAACAGCATCACCATCGGTCAGCTCATCGAGCATCTGAATGGCGTATTGGGGAGGAATAGCCTCACCAAAGGTCTTAAAACTCAATGGAAACTTCTTCTTCTGCTCACCCAACTCCTCCCTCCAACTAGAGTAATCTAAATTCAACTTCCCTTTTCGAGACTCCAAAATCTTATTCATACCCTTCAACGCCAGCTTAACATCAGCACAAATCGACACATGAGGCTGCTTATTCTTCCCAATCTCAGCAGAATCAATATCAATGTGCACAATCTTAGCTCGGCTAGCAAACGCCTCGAGCTTCCCTGTCACACGATCATCAAACCTAACCCCGAAAGCAAGCAGCAAATCCGCCTTATCAACAGCATAATTCGCGTACACAGTCCCGTGCATTCCCAACATATGAAGGGACAATTCATCATTACAAGGGTAAGCTCCTAACCCCATCAAAGTACTAGCCACCGGAATCCCTGTCAATTCGACGAATTTCCTCAATTCCTCACTAGAATTCAAACACCCACCTCCCACATACAACACAGGCTTCTTAGCCTCACTCATCAACCTCACAATCTGCTCAAGAAGCCCTTCCTCATTCGCAGAAAACTTCGATTTTGGCAGCCTAGAAACATACCCACCAAGCTTAATAGGCTGATCCCAATTAGGGACAACCAATTGTTGCTGAATATCTTTAGGAATATCAATCAAAACAGGTCCAGGCCTACCAGAATTAGCTAAATAAAACGCTTCCTTAACAACTCTAGGAATATCCTCAACATCTAAAACCAAATAATTATGCTTAGTGATAGAACGAGTAACCTCAACAATAGGAGTCTCCTGAAATGCATCAGTTCCAATCATTCGGCGAGGCACCTGACCAGTGATCGCAACCAAAGGGACAGAATCAAGCAGCGCATCCGCGAGCCCCGAAACAAGATTAGTAGCACCAGGACCAGAGGTCGCAATGCACACACCCACGCGCCCAGTAGCTCGAGCATAGCCTTCCGCGGCGAAAACTCCACCTTGCTCGTGCCGGGGCAGGACGTTCCTGATAGAACCAGAGCGCGTCAGAGCTTGATGAATCTCCATTGATGCACCACCAGGGTAAGCAAACACATTGGTAACACCTTCACGCTCCAAAGCTTCAACGAGGACATCACAGCCTTTTCTGGGTTCATCAGGGGCAAATCGGGAAACGTAAGATTGGGGGTTTTCATCGGTGAGAGGGGAAGGAACAGCTGTTTGGGTAGCGGATGGCGGCTTTGGGTTAGCGGATTGAGAGGCGGAGATTTGGAGAGGGCGGCGGAGGAAGGAAGATGGTGTTTTGGGGTTAGTGGGAAAAGGGAGGGAGTAAATGGAGGATTGGGGTTTAGGGGTTTTGGAAGAGAGGGTTGGGAAAGGGGAGAAAGAAGGGTTTGAGGAAGTAGCCGCCATTGATGAAGGCATTGAAGGTTGAAGAGAGAGAAATCGAAGAAGAAGAGAAAGGGTGATGACGAGTGTGATCTGGTTTTGTTAATACGGAGTAGGGTTTATTTTTGTAACGAGTGGAGGCGCTCAACTTTTGTTTTCAGCCATGGAAATGAACTAAAGTAGCATTGGGAATTTTTCTTTGAAAAAAAAAAAAAAAAAAAAAAAAAAAAAATAATAATAATAATAATAATAATAATAATAATAATAATAATAATAGTAATAATAATAATACTCTGTAATATTTATAAAAAACACAAATTTTAAAAAAAAAAACCGGTGTTCATTAATTTAATGAATGGCGGAATTTTTGGACAAGCATCAACTGCCAATTTAGTGGGTTTGACACGTGTTTCCTAATGATTGCCAAAATAAAGAAAGAAATAGAACTTTTCTCTCTTCATTCATTCACTATAGCTTTCTCTCTCTTCGTTTTTCTCTCTCTAAAAAGCAAGTAACTGGCGATTTCGAGCGTTTTCTCTCTCATCCATTGTTGATTTTCGAGCTTTTTCTTTCTTCTTTTTCACTGGTGAAGTTGTTATTTGCTTAATTCAGGTTCGTTTACTTATTTTTTTGAGATTTTTGTTAGTTTAAATTGTTTTGATTCTTCGATTTTTAGGTTTTTTGATTTTGATTTTGTTTTTGATTTTCGTAGTGTTGATTCTGCAATGGTGAAGAAGAAGATTACAAAGAAGGCTGTAGATGCTGAAGAAGGTGTGTTTACTTAAATTTTTCATCATTTTTTCAAATTTTTCAATTGAAATTTCGCTTATATATGTCGAATTAGTAGTGCATGTTATTTTTTATAGTTTTCAGTTGATTTTTTATGCATATTATGATAATTGAATTTGAATTATGAAGTTATTATGTTTAATTTTGCTTTATTTTATTGTTCATTGTATATAATTGATTCAAAATTTTGCTTATTATTCTTCAAATTTTGTATGTTAGGTTTTAGTCAGAGAATGCTAATTAAACTGATTATTTGTTTAGGTTTTATGTTTTAGTTAGATTATGTGTATAGTAGGCATATTCGCATTGTGTTTGTGCATCTGTGTTTGATTAACATGCATATATGCATTGCTCATTGTGTTTGAGTAATAGACATGTGTGTCATTTATATGTTTTGACAATGTTCACTTTATGATGTTAAAATGGTGACTTTATGCTGTTAAAAGAGTCACTATATGTTGTTAAATGATTAACTTTTTCAGTTAAAAGGGTCACTTTTTGCAAAAAAAGGGTCACTTTATGCATACAAAAGGGTCACTTTATGCTGTTAAAAAGGTCACTTTATGTTGTTAAAAGGGTCACTTTGTGATGTTAAAAGGGTCACTTTGTGATGTTAAAAGGGTCACTTTATGCTGTGAAAAGAGTCAGTGTATGTTGTTAAATGAATAACTTTTTCAGTTAAAAGGGTCACTTTTTGCATATAAAAGGGTCACTTTATGCTGTTAAAAGGGTCACTTTATGCTGTTAAAAGGGTCACTTTATACTGTTAAAAGGGTCACTTTGTGATGTTAAAAGGGTCACTTTGTGCTGTTAAAAGGGTCACTTTATGCATTTAAAAGTGTCATTTGTGCACATTATTCTATATTTTTCCATGAGTAATTTCTGAATTTGTATTTATATTACTTTAATAATTAAATACAGGTGGTTCAATAGGTGGTTATCGTTATAAAAAGCCTACAAAAGGAAAAGGAAAGCCTAAAGAGCCTGCTAAGCCTAAACCAGTACCAAAAAAGACCCAGATAGCTCCTGAGAAGAGCAAAGCAGTATCTAAAAAGGCTGGGAAAATTCCTGAGAGTGACAAACCAGAGTCTGAGAAGGCCAAAATAGTTCCTAAGAAGGCCAAAATTGTACCTAAGAAAGCTAATACAGTGGAAGATTCTGATTATGAAATGCTTTCTGAATCTGATTTTGAATCTTTTTTGTAAGTATACATATTTTTTTATTACATTTTTAATTATATTTTGTTTTTATTTTATATTGTTTTAGTTACATTTTCTTTCTTTTTTTTTTCTATTTAGGGAGCAAAGAAGTATCATTGCAAGATGTAGACCCTATTCATTGGAAATATTGTTGCAGAACTAACAGGCTGTTGAAGAAATTGGTTTTGGAGGTTTATTACATCTTAAATTGAAAACTCTTAATCGTCAAATGCTACCTTGGCTTGTTGAAAACTTCAATGCTGGTAGCTGCATGTTTACCATCGCTACTGGTAAAGAATTTGTTGTTACTAGAAATGATATATGCGATGTGTTTTGCTTGCCTTTGAGTGATATTTGTGTTCCTGAACTTAATAAAAATTCTGAAGATGAAAGTGTAGATAAACGTATCATTCAGGCATGGAGATCTGATTATGGTCTTTCTGGTAAGCAACCTCTTCATTTACCAAAATTGGAGTCTAGGATGGTTGATTTGGTTGATGGAGGGGAAGAATTTAAGAGGTGTTTTGTTCTTCAAGCTATGTCTAGCTTTTTAGCTCCTACTACTAATAGGACTGTTTCATTGAAGTTGCTGAAAGCTGTTGAAAAAGTTGATGAAATTAAAACTTTTGATTGGTGTTCATATGTTTTAAAAAAGTTAAAGAAGGCTGTTCAGAAGTATAAGGATGATGAAAATGCTCAAAATGTTAGTGGTTGTTTGCTGGCTTTGCAAATTATGTATTTTCATCGTCTAAATTTTCAAGGTGAAAAGGAAAGTAGTACTCTTCCTTTAATTCAACATTGGACGGATGGAAAGATTAAGAAGCGAATTAAGTTAGAGATCAAAGCTGGTGGTTATGGGCAGGGACCATTGGATACTATTACATATCCTGTGTCACAGCTTAATTTTAGGGGAACTGTTTTTAAGCCAGCTCCTACTTTGGGTCATGATAAGGGTCCTTCTACAAGTGGTACCACTGGTCGCATTGTTGCATTTGAGCTTCCAGAAGGTATTATGACCGATGAAGAAATTAAAAAAATTTCAACTGATGTAAGTGTTCTGTTTTCTTATATGTTTAGTTATTATTGCTTTTTGTTTACAAAAGTTATCCTTTTTGTGTACAAAAGTTATCCTTTTTGTGTACAAAAGTTACCCTTTTTGTGTACAAAAGTTACCCTTTTTTGTGTACAAAAGTTACCCTTTTGTGTACAAAAGTTACCCTTTTTGTGTACCAAAGTTACCCTTTATTTGCACCGAAGTTACCCTTTATATGCATTAAAGTTATCTTCAATATTAAGTTAAAAGGGTTACTTTATTCATACAAAAGGGTAACTTTTTTCATTTAAAAGGGTCAGTTTATGCATTTAAAAGGGTCACTTTTAGCATATATTTAGATTTCCTACTTATTTTATTATTTTTATTTGTAACATTTTTTTTTTCATTGTTCATATGTTTGTAGGTTGTTCAAGAAACGTTTCTTTTGTTTAAAAGAAATATGGATGTTTTATTATTTGTTCAGTCAACTGGTTTTCAAACCTTGAATGATCTGATTACTTCTCGCAGAAGTGTTTCATTATCTTCTGATGATTTTGTTTCAGTTTCTCAAACTGAACTGCTACTATCTGATCCTCATTATTTGAAGATTTTAGATGGTTTAATTGATGAGTGTAATAAAATGAAGTCTGTACATGATATGTTTCGCGGTTTTTATGAACCTACAGAAGGTAACAAAGATTTTGTTCCTGAAAAAGAACCTGCACAAGGTTTCAATGAAAATATTCCTAAGGATGATGACAATGGTCATGGAAAAATAGTTAATGAAGGCTTTAATGGTTCTGGACCTTCTGCTATCATTCGTCCTACTCAAAATATTCCTGTCGGGCATATTGATCAAAATGAACCTCCTCGACTCAGAGCAAATAAATCTCTATGCTCTCTGGACTGTGGACATGTAGGTGTGCAGGTGCCTTTTGTAACTCTTTTTGTAAAGAGCAATGCTCGGATTTTCAAGAATTTGCCTCAGTTACATTTGGAAATTCTCGATTATTGTTTGCTGAAGGATGTTTCAATGGATAGGAAGTTAAGTGTCCTTTTTTATTATAATTATTTTTTTATCTGTTTTTTTTCTTATATTTTTTTTTTAATGCTGATCTTATTTTTTATTGTTTCAGTGAGAGCCTTGTTACTTTTGGAATGAACTTTTTAATTCCAAGAGAAGACATGGTGTCCCTTGTTGCTCCACTCAGGATTTGATGGTGCGTTATTGCTTGCTTCTGTCTGTATTTGAATGAGAAAGCATGTTTTCAGGCTACTGGTCCTCGAAAATTCTTCTTCGGTGTTAGGCAGAGTGTAAGTTATTTCATTCCTTTTTTTATATCTTAACACATTTACTTTATATATATATTATTGAGATCTTATACTTTAATAGTTTTCATTCTTGCATGTTTGTGACAATATTGGCAAAGGTAACATATCTAGTGCTGTTAAGGATTTGCACGACATATGGGAAGGTTGGGTTAGCTATGAGAATCCAGAATGTAATATAATGGATGCTGATCTGGTATTTTTATTCTAAACTTAATGTAATAAATTTAAAAGAGTTCTCTTTATGATATACTTTGTTTAAATCTCTTTAATTTTGCTGTTTCAGATCTATTTTCCTGTTCTTATTGAGAATCACTACATTTTGTATGTTATTGATCATACAAAAGAGTTGGTATATTATCTTGACAACATTATCTGGACTGATTCTGCTCTTGTTTATACAAAAGAATTGTGTTCAAAGATGGTATGTTTATGTTTGTTTTTTTTGTTATGTTACTGTTGATTCATTGTTTCCATTTTAACTTTTTTGATTTTAATGTATTCTAAACTTTTATATTTTATGTCAGTGTGTTCAAATGGGTGCTTTTCTTGGCAAAAGAAATCATCCAAAGAGTTCTCAGCTACCTTCTTATGGTTTTGAAGTTGTTGAGTTGGAATGGAGAAAAGAAAAAGTTGACAATTTGGACTGTGGGGTCTTTGTCATGTATCACATGCTCCATTTTGTTGGTGAATCGTTCAAATTAAATGATCTCAAAACAGTAATTATCTATATAGTTTCTGTAGTTTTTTCCTTTCTAATGCTTTTATTAATTACATATTGATAATAAATATTTTTTTTGCTGTTTTGAGATTAATGGAAGGAAATTTTTACGAGGAGAGATCTGTACCACACTGGTACTGTGTGATTTGAATGAATCTAGGAACGATGTGTTGTCAGAATTACACAAGTTCAATGAGAAGAAGAAAGATCCTGCTTATGTCAATGGAATTGAAGAAAGATTAAAGGCTGCAATTGCTGCAAAGAAGAAGAGAGAAACTGAAGAAAGAAAAATGGCAGCAGAAGCAGAAGCAAAGGCAGAGGGAGAAGAGGAAAAGAACAAAGGAAAAAGGGCAAAAAAAGCAGGCAAAAAAGTTTACTCCTTCTAAATAGTGAAATAATTGATAGTTGTTAGCTGATTAGTTCAGGGGATTTTTTTAACAATGAAAAAACTTAATGTATGTGCATACATTAAGTTTAATGATGTAATTAAACTTAGTTTAAAGTCTTTAGTTGTTTTTGGAATACTGATGTATGTGAATACATAAAGTAATTAAAAGGTTTATTTTTATGTTTTTTATGGGGTAACTTTTATGCAGAAAAGGGTAACTTTTATTTATAGAAAGGGTAAATTTTATTTATAGAAAGGGTAACTTTTAAGCAAGAAAAAGGTAGATTTTATTGTTAGAAATGGTAATTTTAGCAATGAAAAGGGTCACTTTTATGTAGAAAAAGGGTCACTTCTATTCATGAAAAAGGACACTTTTTTCTGTAAAATAAAAGGGTCAGGGGTTTTATGCATGAAAAGGATAACTTTTAGTGATAAAAAGGGTAACTTTTATTAACAGAAAGGGTAACTATTACCAAAGAAAAGGTTGATTTAGTGGATAGAAAGGATAACTTTTATGCATGAAAAGGGTCACTTTCATGCATAAAAAGGTTTACTTTGTAGCATAAAAAGGGTTACTTTTGTGGGTAGAAATAATAAGTTTATACATGATAAGGTATACTTTTGTGGGTAGATAGTGTAACTTTTATGCATGAAAAGGGTAACTTTTATTGATAAAAGGGTTAACTTTTATTAACAGAAAGGGTAACTATTGCCAAAGAAAAGGTTGATTTAGTGGATAGAAAGGATAACTTTTATGCATGAAAAGGGTCACTTTTATGCATGAAAAGGGTCACTTTTATGCATGAAAAGGGTTACTTTTATACGTTAAAAGGGTAACATAAGTTGATGTGTTCCAATAATTAAACATGTGCTAATAAAAGTGTCAATCACATTTTCATTAAACTAGTCATAGAGTAAAAAAACAAAAGAAAAATAGTTTAACAATACAAGGTATATTAATTTCGAAAAAAAAAAAAATGTTCTAAAAAAGATCTTAAAAGAGTCGTAAGTTAGGTGTCTTTGATCCAAATTCTGAATTTGGAGGTGGCAGTGCTGGTTTTCTTTTTCTCTTGCTTTTTTCAAGTCCTCCTTTTTCTCTCTTGCTTCTTCCTTTTGTTACACCCCTTTTAGTTACAAGAATTATTGGTACACATGTGCTTGTACTCGATGCTGAAGAAGTGTCAGTATTGCTTTGAGTGTTGTCTGCCACATCAGGAATGTTAGAAGCAGCTTCTGCACTTTCTTTCTGAGCAGCACTAGCAAGTAAGTCTTCCACCATTTTAAGACTGTTTCTGAATCTTTCTTCCATAAATGCTCTTGTCTCTTCATTTTCTTGACTTTTTAAGATTAGATTGTAGTATTTCCTCATCATTGTTTGCCTCCATGGAATATATTGCTGTTTAGGATCCTGATTCTTCAACCTATCCCATGCCTCTGTTTTTGCTAACTTAGTCCATCTTTTTGAAACATACTTGTCTGGTATTCTTGTTACCGAATGCAAATGTAGAATTCTAATGCAATGATAACATAACCATCCAGATGCTTCAAAGTTTTTGCAAGTACACCATACAGTTTGGCTCTCTTGTATATAGTTTACTTGATGTGCAGACCATGGCTTGTCTTCTAGTGTTACTTGATAAAGTAGGCATTCTTCATTACTGCCTAACATTTGAACAGTTGTTGCCATAGAGTATCCAAACTCCTCTTCAAAAGTTCTAAAAAGTGATAAAGTGAAAACCTGTACATCAAAATCATGTAGCTTCATTTAAATTGCCATATATTAGGTGTAATTTATGTACTTGTCAGTTAACTTTTTACCTGTGCAGCATGCTTTAACATTCCAGATAGAGGCAATGAAGTGAATGCTATTGACTTGCTACAGGTAAACTCATCATATTTCTCTGTGCTTCTCCAACGATTAGTTGTCTTCTTAAATATGGTATAAAATTCTGTCAAAGTAGTTGCTTTACTTGCTCTGAATCCTATGGCATAATTAGTGCTTTCACTCCTTTCTGACGATAAGATCCCTGCTGAAAAGAAATCTCTACAAAGGGCAGGACACCATTTGTCTTTCAACTCATACACTCTTTTGTACCAAGAGTGTTCTGTCAACTCATATTTTTGCAACATTGCTTGCCACTTTGCTTCGAATTCTTGTTCTGTCACACACATCTTTAAGCACTGGTTGAATGCAAATTTGAATTCTTTGTCTTTTTTAAGAGCTCCAAATTTGGTTATGGCATTTTGCTCCAAATGCCATATACAAAGTCTATGTCTTGTATTAGGAATCACCTGCATTGAAAATAAAGGGGTCACTTTATGCTGTTAAAAGGGTTACTTTATGCACTAAAAAGGGTAACTTTTTGCAGCTAAAAGGGTTCTTTATGTGAAAAAGGAAAACTTTATTGTCATAGCTCAAATCTGTAAGATGTCAATATAAATCTTTTACCTCCAGTATAGCATTTGCCATTGCTTGGTCCTGGTCAGTGAATATTGAAGTTGGTTTTCTATCCTCCATATCTTTGAAGAAGGTTTGTAGTAACCACACAAATGAATCTGTCGTTTCATCCCCAATAAAAGCACAAGCAAACATACAATTATGCCAATGGTTATTTACGCCAACAAATGGAGCACATATAAGATTATATCAGTTGGTTCTGTATGTTGTATCAAAGACAAGAACATCTCCATATATCCTATAGTCTTCTAGCATCATTGAATCTCCCCAAAAGATATTGCAAATTCTTCCTTCTTTGTCAAACTTCACTCTAAAAAAGAAGTTTGGATCCTCTGATTGTTCCTGACTTAAAATGTTCACTAAAGTTTGAGCATCTCCAGCCTCAATTTGTTCCATTCTTAACCTTGAGCAGAAATTCAGGTGATCTACAACACTATGGCCTATATTCTGTTCTCCTCCAGCCTCTGTAGACATGTAATTGTAAGTGTCCATTGTAGTTAGACCCGAAGATTTCATTGTTTTGATTGTTACAACTTTTTCCTCTGTCATTTTTCTTTCAGAACGATGCAAATAATGCCACTGTGGCTTTGTTAGCTCGTGGTTATGCTGAATAACATGAGCCACCACCTCAAACTGTCCTTCTTTATTCACTTTTGCTCTTATGCATGCCTTGCAATTTGATCTTGTAATGGATACTTGTCTTGGCTTTCTTGTTTTTACATTTACATCCTCTTCATTAACCATTTCAACTAACTTTGTTTTCTTCTGACCTGAATGTCTCTTTCCCTCAGCAGAACACACATAGTTTTTCTCAGTTACTATTTTTGTGTGTTGTTTGAATCTAGTTGTATGTTTTCTTATTGAAAACCCTAGTATAGCAGCATGTTTTTCATACAATTCCAAAATTTCTTCAAAAGTTTCTCTTACCACACCAACAAATGATCCTCTAAGATCTAAACCATAAGCATCAATTGGATTTGTATCTGTTATTTAATACAAACAAATCAGATAATAACCACAGACAACATAAAAAAAAGGGTAACATTCGTTTGAAAATAGGGTAACTTTTATGCATGAAAAAAGGTAACATTTAGGCATTGAAAGGGTTACTTTTTGCATACAATCTGAATTTTCAGCATACAATCTGAGTGTAACATTTGAGCATAAATAGGGTAACTTTTATGCATGAAAAAGGTAACATTTAGGCATTCAAAGGGTTACTTTTTGCATACAATCTGAATTTTCAGCATACAATCTGAGTGTAACATTTGAGCATAAATAGGGTCACTTTTAAGCATGAAAAGGGTAACATTTAGGCATTCAAAGGGTTACTTTTTGCATGCAATCTAAAAAGTTATACATTCAATCTGAGGGTAACATTTAGGCATAAGTATGGTCACGTTTATGCATGAAAAGGGTAACAATTATGTATTCAAAGGGTTACTTTTTGCATACAATCTCAAAAATTCATAGAAATTACCTTCAGTTGCATCTAATTTGGTTGTTTATTCTGAATTTGAATCAATTGATTTATCAGGAACCACTTGATTTTCTGCATTGTGAATTGCGTCTTCTGCATTCTCAATTGCTTCATCTGCATTATCGATTGCTTCATCTGCATTGTCTGGACTGTTGAATATTGGTACGAATTCATCTCCAAAACAATTAGTTTCTTCTTCTTCTATAATCGATCGATTTAAATCGATTTCAAATTCAGTCTCAATTTGCCTCTGTTTTTGTAGCAATTCGTGAATGAGATTGCTGCAATTTGTTGTATCGAAAGTCGAATTCTCCATTGATGATCGAATTCTGCAATTTGTAAGTTTTCTCACTTTCTTTGTCCTTAATTGATGATCGAATTCTTCTATTTGTGCGTTTTCTCACCTTTTTTCTCCTCGATTGATGATCGATTTCTGCAATTTTTGCGTTTTCTAACCTTTTTTCTCCTCGATTGATGATCGTTTTCTGCAATTTTTGCGATTTCTCACTTTCTCTCTCCTCAATGGATGATTGATCATAGCTGCGTTTTCTCACTTTCTCTCTCCTCCATTGTTGTTCTGCGTTTTTTTGATTTTTAGGTATTTGAAATTCTGCGATTTTTTTTTAAAAAAAAAGCACGTGCGAAAACCCGATGTACAGTAAAAATACTATACACCGGGTACATGCAAATGGGATTGTATAAAAAAAGACTTTGGGGTTAGAAATATTTTTGTCGTGTCATAAATATTTTGATTCGAATCCATATTATCTCATTTGAAAATCCAAGAAATTATTTGCAAATCTATGCATATGTATGGTTTGATTTATCATGTAGTATCAAAAAATACTCGGTGTAGTATTGTACAAAGTATATTTTAATTAAAAAAATAAACCAAAAAGAAAAAATTCTCTCTCCTCTCATCTCATCTCCTCTTCTCCTCTCTTCTAGGGTTTCTCCAAAATCTTGGTCGTTTAGGCCGGAAATAGTCTAATTTCCGAAGATATTCGTTTTGCAATTTGAATTTAAATAAATCTACACAAGTAGTGTAGATATTCGTCCGTCTCCCTATGGTGGAGTCGTTAGTTTAGTTGTTTGTTTTTGTTTAGAGTTTGTTTGTGTGTTATGGTTCATCAAAAAATTAATCATCTTTTGCCCTATTGTCAGTTCTTTGGTAAAGATTTGTTCGGGGTCGCAACGGTTGTCAAATTTTCAAATGCGCTCTGGCGAATCAGATGAGAATCATCCTTACGCCTACATCAAATCGTTAGACCGTCTCTCCGAAAAGGCTGTATATTCCAGCGATGTGTGTGAGAGATGTACCACAGTGCAAGATCTTTTCAACGATTGTAGCTCTGATGAAGGAAAACCTAATTTGATTCAATTTTATGTATTTGTTAATTTAGATTTCATTTGTAGATGCCGGATTGCTTTTTATTAATGAATTGTTGTTTTTTTTTTTTTTTAAAGTATATTTTAATTATGAATTCATAAGAGTTTAGGTTTGTCTCTTAAAAAATAAATCAATAAATAAATAAATAAATAGAATTTACGTTTGTCATTAACTATATGGTCAAAATATTAGCGCAGATTATGAAGGTCTCTACTTAGAAATATGCAAATACATCGAAAATCACTACTCATATCAACTTAAAGAGATGGGATGTCGACTATGTCAAATATGCAATTTAGTTATGAATTTTATTATAAAGTTATGTTTATATCTAAATTTGTGGTTTACAAATATTTATTATTACTATAGATGTCGTATGACTATTCATTAATGATATTTGCAACAAAAAAAACTATTTATTAATGATATTATTTCTTCCCGTAAAAAAATAAATAAATAAATAAATAAATAAATTTTGAATTACAATTCTCATTTTCCTATCACATTACATGTTAGTTCATTTTAAATCGATAACTAGTGATTTTTCAAGACGACTCCTCTTGTTATCTTTTTCTTAATTTAATGTTTAAAGGAAAAATTAACAACATGACATGATAAATGAGAAATCAACATTGATAAACATGATATGTTGATCTAAGGGTAGTATAATACCTTTAGTTGAGTTGTAAGGAGCATTTACATAAATTTACAAAACAAAAAGTATACATTGTTTAAGAGTGATAGAGAAAATTCTTTTTTTTTTTTTTTTTTTTTTTTGGCCAAGCTCCGGCTTCAATGGAAAGGTATCAACAAAATTTATACCTTTCCACATATATATATATATATATATATATATATATATATATAAATATATATATATATATATATATATATATATATATTAGGGTAATGCTACATGCAGCTCAAAGGGTTGCATATAAGTATTTAATATACTTCACTTTTTAATATTAAGTTGGGAATATATCAACAATTCACGAGTAAAATAAATATTTATTTATCGTCAAATTTTTCATTTTTTGCTTTTTTTTAAGGGAAAAAAGGCTAAAAATGGAAAAATTGACAATAAATTAAAATTTATTTTACTCGTGAATTGTCGATATAGGGCTGCATATATCTTTTTCCTTAATTGATTATAGTTTTAATGCATATCATTTTTCGAAAATATCAAGCTTAACACTAGTAGAAAAAATGTTATTTGTAACTGGCGAAATTGACTTTTTGTAACTGGCATTGTTGGTTGCGAATGCCACCGTTACAACTAATGAAAATTATTCGTAACCGGCTAATGTTAGTTACAAATAATGTACTATTCGTAACTGGCTTAAACTAACGCCACTTACAAATAGGCTATTTTCCAAGTTAGAAAACTTACTATTTGTAACTGGCGTTAAGTTACGCCGATTACAAATAGAATATTATTTGTAACTGGCATAGCCTAACGCCAGTTACGAATAGTGTTTTTATTATGAAATAAATAAATAAAATGGTAACAGTAGCAAATAGCAAATTCCTCTACTGCCACCACCCATACACTACATTTATATTTTTTTAACTTAAAGACCATTTATTGTTAATAAACTTTTATAAAATACAATAACTATCAATCTAACCAATACAAGACCAACTTTAAATGACATCTTGTAAATTATATTGAATTGATGTACTTGTAAATTACAAATTTTTATCTCACAATTCACAATAAACAATACTCTAATGCTAACAAAAGCTAGTCAGTTAATTGATACAATGGTCAACCTTCAAATTTTGCTAATTTTGTCGATTGTCTCTGTCTGCTTCATAAATTTGACTCTTATGTATAGGATAACAGCTGTTCACACTAAGCACTTGAAATTGCAGCAGAATTCTGCATGGCAAAAAAATATAAACATAAAAAAGCCAAAATTAAAAAAAAAAAGTTGTTTCAGACAGTCACCAGTGAACTCTTCCAACATGGTCAATGCACAAATTGAGTGGATATAAAAGAAAATAAGCATCAAAACTCACTTGAAAAACTTCAGTCACTTATTAGACAAAACTAGTCAAATAAATTCAACACATAAATCAAAACCAGTAATATCACTTATTAGACAAAACTAGTCACAAATAAATTCAATAGAGAAATCAAAACCCCACATATAAAATACAACAAAACATAGGGTAGCAGATGCTTGGTGCCTAAACTAGCTCAATTTTCAGTTTCTTAGGTGTCTTAACTAGCATAATCTATTTTTCTGAACTAGCAGGTGGTCAATGTTTTGCCACTTATAGTTGTAGAAATATCCAAGATAAGTGAGCTTTTTAAATTGCATACCTGATGAGCCTGCATCATTACAAGTAATATATGATCCCCGACCATTGCAAAACAAATGAGCCTACAATCATTGGAAGCAAATAATGAGCCTGCACCAATAAATGTGTGACTCTGAGGAAGCTATGTACCACGTGACTTATAATTGTAAATTACCAAAAGAGCTTCAGAACAGCAGCCATGTGACCAATAATTGTAAATATACAACCTAATTACTAGAGATGCACAAAAATTCAAGGCAATTTATCAAAGCTTAATTGTTATTTCTATATTCCATAAGATAGACACTAGCAGCCCATAGTTTGAGATAAGCCCTGATTCAAACAACACATGATTTGACAGTAAAACCAGGACCCTGACATAGAATAGAATCATGGACAATAATTAATGGATTAAAAGGAAAGCAATAGCCTCTAAATGACATAGTACTTCTAATTATAACACTCCATATTTAGTAAACAAACTTGGACTAAGATTTTAATTATAATCACTAACTTTGCTCTTAAACTCTTAGATATCCAAAACTGTATATATCTTATTCAAAAGTCAGCTGACCCGTCATTGCATAATCTGGTGCACAATAACCATATATACCCATTACCCGAGTCGATACATGAGTATTGCCTCCAACTGGACCCACTTTGGCCAGCCCAAAATCCGACAGTTTAACGTGATAGCCCTTGCCAAGCAAGATATTTGAGCATTTCAAATCATGATATATTACAAGTGGCTCCATCTTGTCATGAAAATATTCTAAGCCCCTAGCCGCCCTAGCGGCTATTTTCATCCTTTTGTTCCAATCAAGAGCCTTCTGCTTATTTCGGAGGTCTGCAGCATTCATTATCAAGGGAATACAAAAAATGCATTAGGATATGAAAAAAAAATTGCTAGAGAAGGACTACTGTAGCAAAAACACACACACACACACACACAGCGGCGCCTATGTACCACGTAGATGGCTTTCCAAGGATCCTAGTGGCATGTACTCATACACCAACAACCTCTGATTACCCTCATCATAGTACCCAATTAATTTCACACGTTTAGGGTGATAAGCTAGACTAAGCGTCACCACTTTAACAACAAATTCCCTGATGCGGCCTGTACTCCATTACGATTAGTTAATTTTTGGATTTTCAATTGTGATAAGACCTATTATATTGTTAGCAACTCTAGACAGGTCTTAATCACAAATTTGCAACCTAAGTTCATATTAATTCTACGTCTAATACACAAATCCCAGTACAAGCAACAATTTCACAATCAAATAAAAAATTTGGCTTAATATTTCTCAAAAGTAATAAAATTACAAAATCAACAACTAACAAACCATTTTTTAGTCACTAATTATCACAAAACAGGACAAAAATTATCCTTGAAAATAAACATGAAATCCTTGAATTGGAGAAAAAAAAAAACATATAAACAAAGATGAACATTAAAAGTAATCTAGTGGAAAGTAAGCAGCCATGCATGTACACTTGCACACTTGTGCACTGTTTTAAAGAGAGGCTTCATAGAAACCTACTTTAAATAAACATTTCTGCTATAATCAAAGCTATATATATACATTAAGATATATGCCATGAGACTAGGCAATTTAACACTCACCATATATCAAAATAAAAGACCATTATATTTTCACCATTAATCGCAACTACTTCACTATCTATCCAAACATCATGGTCCTCAATTCAAACAAGAGATCTGACAGCTACGCAAACTTAAGCGACTTGCAAAATATAAAACAATGTTGTAAAAGATGATCTAAAAGAAACGGAATAAGAAAATCAAGCAAAATACAGTCAACATTGCCTTGTTAAGAGGGAAGTAAGACAGTCATGCAAGGAAAATTCAGCAATAATGATACAGGCTAATTTAGATTAAAAACACTAAATTTGTATCATATGTCAATACTTGAAATTATTCGCCATATGAGCTTTAGTTATGCACTCATGTTTCTCGACTTTTATTTTTCAAATATCAAAGTTTTCCATAAGATAAATAAGATAAGTTTCACTAAAGTTATTAGAATTAGCATCAATATACTACATATATGAGAGATCTGAGTACAGAGATATGAATGGCTCCAAGCTTATATTTTAAATGGATTGTCCAATTCCTACATTTTAAGAAACTAGTAGCAAAATTTGTTTCACAAGAACCAAGAACTATCAATATTTATGAATTCTAATCAGTTAGGTGGTCGAAAATTTTCCTGAGAATTTATCAGATGAAAATTATCTATAAAATAGATAAATTAAGTTTTCAAGCAGGGTGTCTCAAACTCTTTTTTTTTTTTTTTTTTTTTTTTTTTTTTTTTTGACAATAGGGTGTCTCAAACTCTAGATAGGATTTAATCACAAATTTGCAACCCTAGCACAAGCAAAAATTTCTAAATAAACTCAAATTTTGGCTTAAAATTCTTTAAAAACTAACATTTCTAGTCACATGCACTAAAATCTTCAAATTAGAAGCTTGTTCATATTCGCTAATTTTAAATCCCTTAACATAGTGATAATTAAAATTGTAAAATTTCTCATAGAAGTATTTAAAAAAAAAGACACTATATATATCATAATCAAAGATTTTACCTGAATTGAAGAGCCATACCGAATCTTTCAGCCCAGCAAATTGTTCAACAAGACACCGATTTAAGAATTATAAGCTTCAATTTATCAGCTCGAAAATATCGCAACCCAGCATCTCAAATGTAGATCAACTTCTTTAATTCCAGTTTAACATGAACAAGTTTGCAACCGGAAAGTAATAAAACCCCGCCTAGTTTCATTGCAGACAATCTAATCTTTCCGGCATGATTTCCCAATGTCAGCAACATTTTAGTAGTATATTTTGTTTCTTTATTGTTCATTCTCCAAAACAAATCATAATTACAAGGGATACATTGAACCATACCTTAACTTCTGAGAGGAATCAGCTCCCTACGACAACCACCCTCCGATAGCCTCCCCTACAATGGTAGCAAGCCAAATAGGCCTGTTACGAGGATCTATCTTGAGCAGCTGGTCTCATTAACACATGCTAATATAATAGTTAGGATAAAGTCTTAGCTTCTATCATTCATCTAGCCAATAGAAAAGAGGATACTAAACTAAGATTGGTGAGGAACTTATCAATATAAAATGGTGCAATAATTTATCTTGAGAATATTATCTTTGACTTACTATAACTGTAAAGCTTTTATCTAACAAAACTAGCTACTTCTACATGCCACTAAAACAACAATAATTCATTACTATACAATCTAAAATGTCAACCTATTAATGCTGATGCATAGCCACAATTACATTATACTTCTCCCGTTTTATTAGTGGCCTTCATGATTTTCTTAATTAATTTTTTTATGTTCAAAATGAAATGAGGTGTATTGATAAGTTCCCGAGAATGGAACTATAAGCGAATACATTTCTGTATTATGACAAGATATTGATAATTGTTGTGAGCAACTTTTAATAATTGCACAGCATAAGCCTACCTCAAAGGGACAAACCTAGAAAAATCAACAAAAAAACACATCATAATTCATATATACACCATCAAAAGGCGGGACAAACCCAGAAAAATCAACACAAAACATCATAATTCATATATTCACCATCAAATTTAATCACAAAATCAATCAATTTACAAAATTAATACGACAATTTCCCAAAATCTAACTAAAATAGTATACATCAAACCTCATCCCAGCAAAAATACAACAAAAAAACAAAATTTAGGGTGAAAACCAAACTTTCAGCAACAAATTGGTTGTCGCGATTATACCCATTGCTTTAATATTTACACGCACTTAACAGCCAAAAACACCTAAATTAACAACTAAAATCAATGATGAAAAACCAGAAAACCCCAATCAATCAAAAAACATTCAAAACAAGAACAAATTAAAATCACATGCAGTACAACCTCATTTGAGTAAACAATACACAACTAAAATCAACAAAAACAGAATGAACTCAATAACGAAGCAGAAAATGTAGTTGAATCCGAAAACACTAGAGTCAATTAGTTAAATCTAGCTAAACCAAACAAAAAGGAAGAAGAATAGGAGGAAAAAAGGAACCTTAAAATGGTTGAAAACGAAAAACTACGCGCTCAAATAAATGTTCTTTAATCGCGACAACCACCCTCCGATAGCCTCCTCGACAAAATGGGGCTTGCGCTGCAATTCCTCATCATCATCCGGCAATTAGGACGATTCCGAAATGCATGATTGCATAAGCAGAGAGCGCAGGTTGCTCTATGAAAAAATGAGGAATTTTAGAGGTTTTTTAAAGGAAAACTGAGGTTTTTCGAAGGAAAATTGAGGTTGTTCTGTGAAAATTAGGGGTAAGTTTGATTAGGAGGAAGGAAGAGTAGAAGTACTTTCTTAAAAAAAAAAATAGAAAAAAGAAAACACGGAAAATGAGTGTTGTGCAGTTATGCAATTGTGCAGAATAGCAATTGTAACTGAACTTAATAAAGTCCATTATAATTAATATAGTCAACAAATTTGACCTATTAGTTGTAACTAGCTTTTTCTATGTCCATTACTAATAGTTGGTCATTCTATCTTTAAACTACTTTTTGTAACTAACCTTGGATATGCCAGTTACTAATACTAATTTATTTATAACCCGCACTAACAATGTCAGTTACGAATACCCTTGTAGTAACTAACACAACTTATGCTAGTTACAAATAGAGCGTTACAAATAGCATTGGTTTTTTTTTTTGAAAGATTCAAATGAGTTTTTAAATAACCCAAGTTTTAAAAACATTTTTCCTAGTTAGCCCAAAGTAAAAATAAGAATCTTCCTAGTTAAGCCCAAAAGGTACCAAAACCCAATCTTATCAAGATCAGGGAATTAATCAACTAAAAGCCCATCTTTATAAAACTTTTTTTTTGAACGGATCTTTATAAAACTTTAAAACCCTCTTACTACTCCTATTCTACGAACTACGCTTCAACCTAAATGAACAAAAAAAAAAAAAAAAACCTGAAGCAACTCTCTCACATGCACGGGTGGCACGACCAAGAAGCCCGACGGCCCAACCAGTCAACCGTATCGACAGCCGGAAGCCACCTCGGTACCCTCTCTACTCTTTCCTCCTTTAATTTGTTCCTTCTTATTACTCCATGTTTCAAATTAAGATTTAAAGTTTATGTTTGTTTTTATTTATGTTATTGATTTCAATGATCTTAACTCTTAAGCATGTTTAAATCTTATAAAACCAAGCGAAATTATCAAGATCATTAATTGTAATACATGGTTTAAATTTTCAGATTTTATTGTTTATAATATAGGATTTAAAAGTAGGTTAAATTTTGTTTTAGGGTTTAGAATGAGTTAACTAATCTTATTTTATAGTTATGATGATGTGTTGAAACTTTATTATTTGTGGTTGATATTTATTTGTAGATCATAAATTTATGAATTTGGGCTTAAACTAATCATGTTTTCATGTTTTTAGGGTTTTATTTTTAATAGTCACGGGTTATAATTAAGGATAGGACAAAAATTTAAAAAAAAATACAAATTATATTTACAAAAAAATATTAACAAAAAAATATTAACAAATTATATTAACAAAAAAATATTAACAAAAGTACTTTGTAAATGCGGATAACTTATAATAAAACAAAAAATATATTCACAAAAAAAACCATTAAAAAAATTGATTACAAATACAAAATTAAGTCTTGATTCCCTTAAAAAAAAGTCTTGAAATATTGTGCTGAATGAATATAAGTCTTCAATCTGATTGTCCACACATTTCTTGTTTCATGTAATAGAGTTCTTCCTCTCATCTTACTTGTAAAACAAATGATGATATCATCATTTTCAATATCAGTTTCATTTAGTATGAAAGTGAATGTATTCATAAAAGGTTCAAAATTCCTCTTAAAAGTAGTCTTTAAATTCATGGTCTTAATTCTTAAATAACATATTTTGTCATTATGTAAGGGTGTATTTTCTTAATATATGAATAAAGAGTATGGTTACATTATTTGTCATGGCATGAATACTTGATATTAGATAATTGATAATCCTCACAACATATTGGTCTAACCAAAGATTATTAAGATAATGTATTTGTAGTGACACCAATTTTACATTGATTCTAAATTTGTTATAATTAATATGATATAGTTAAGTTTAATGATGCGTAAAGTAGGTTAATATATTTTTTTTTGAAAAATAAAAAAATGTTAAAATACCTTGGCCTACTCAAGGAGGGTCACATTCCACGTACATTACAATTCTCCTTGAGTGTCGAGCGCATGGTTTATACCAAATAGGCATAGAAGAATTAATGGATAACAATTTTGCTAGTACTCGAATTTATTTTAACTAAAAATAAATCAACAAAAATTAAACACCTCATGTATAAGATAATGTCAAATGAATAATAGTCGATATACATACATTATGCAAAGTTAAAAATCGATTCAACTTGATCCTTTTAGCATTACTAGGGCAGCCAACACGCGTTGACTGTCCCTTTCTTGTTGTTTGTATTAGGTTGTATTTAAACTCTTCATGACATTGGATTTTTAAGGAAAGTAGTTAATTAAATTAATGGAATGCGTATATTGGGTTGTGTTTAAACTTTTCGTATTTCATACACAACTAATTCAGTTGTTTACAACTTTTCCTCATGAAACATCTATGCAAATATTTAACAGTGCAATATTGCAAAAACATCTACAAACTTAATTAGGAATAGATTAAATACAATTAAAAAAATCATAGAGCACATATTATATACTAACAGAAGTAATTTAATATTGCATATGCATATAATAATGGAAAGGTTTTCTGGAGCATATACTATATGCAAGTATATGCTCTCACCCAACCTAGTAATTACTCTATATAAATTATATTAGTTTAACTATATGAAACTATAAAAGAGAAATAATTACACCCAACCCGCATAAACATTAACATTCATGCAATTAGAGAAAATATAGTATCATCTTTCATTTGCAACTTTCTTCCAAAAACGTGGATTTGGTATGCAGTATAAAAAACTTTATGCAACCCCAATTGTAGCCTTTAAACTCTAGATAATTCCCTTCACTTCCTTCTTGATTTTTTTTTTCCTTTTTCACCATATGTAGTTAGTTTGGTTTCCTTTCTTCCTAGTACATATACTTCGACAAAATCATCAAATTCATTTCATTAGTCTCAATCACTACTAGAAAACAACCAAATTACGACGGAAACACCTCGTTTTTCGTCGGAAAACCCATTTCCGACGGAAATCCGTCGGAACTGGTTGTCGCAATATACTTTGTCGGAAAAACGCATTTTTTCGTCGGAAATTCCGTCGGAAAAGCGGTTCCGATGGAAACCAGTCTGTCTGAAGAGGTTTTCGGGCCTAGGAAAGTCCGTCGGAAATTTCCGACGGATATTATTCTGCCGGAAAATCCCGACGGAAATTCCGTTGGAAAACTCAATTAAAAAAACAAAAAAAAACTGCACCCACCCAAAACCACCAGCCCCCACCCCAGAACCACCAACCCGTTCTTATCCCACCACCACCGACACTACCACACCATTATTGAACCCCAAAAAATGAAAATAAATCCCGAAAACACCCAAAAAACGAAAATTAAACACCAAAAAACGAAAATTAAACCCGACGAAACGAAAATCAACCCCAACGAAATGAAAATCCACCTCCAGAAATTTGAAAATTAACACCACAAAACGAAAATTAGCCCAAAAATTTTAAATTAACAATGAAATCGAAAAAATCCACACAATTATCTAATAAAATTCATAAATTAACATAACAATTATAAAAATATACAATTATTCAATAAAATTCACAAATTAACATAACAATTACAAAGAAATTAACTAGATATACAATCTAACCTAAATTAAAACTAGATCTACAAAACAAAAACCTTGAAAGTTGCGTCGTTGTTGTTGTTGTTGCGTTGTTGCGGCCGATGTTGGTGGTGGTTGACGTTGTAGCGTTGTTGATGTTGTTGCGGTCGATGTTGGAGGTGGTTTGGTGGTGGTTGATGGAGAAGATGGAGGATTGGTTGTTGAGGGAGAAGATGGAGGATTGGTGGCTGAGGGAGGATTGTTGTTGGTTGCGTTGATGCGGCCGATATTGGTGGTGGTTGATGGAGAAGATGGAGGATTGGAGAAGAGTAGAAGGAGAAGAGACGGAGAGGAGGGGCAGAGGGAAAAGAGGAGAGAGAAAGAGAATGTGAAGGGGATAGTGGGGAAAGTGAAAAGAGGCGGAAGAAGGAAGAAGGAAGAAGGAATTAGGGTTAGTATATAAATTTTTTTTTCTTTTTTTTTTTAAATTATAATTCCGACGGATTTTGCCGTCGAAAATTTTCGACGAAATATTTTTCCGTCGGAATTGGCCTTTTTCGACGGAATATTCTGTCGGAACGTCTAATTATTCCGACGGATTTATTTTCCGTCGGAAATTTCCGACGGATTTTCGACGGAATGTTTTAATTTGTTGGAAATATCCGACGGAAACTAAATCCGTCGGAAATATCGATTTTTCCGACGGATTTTTAGGTCCGTCGGAACCGATCCGTCGCTATTTGACCTGATTCTTGTAGTGAATGTCATTTAAACACAATTATGTGTAAGTCGTTAATTTTGACCTTTACTAAGAAATAACTTTTTGCTTGTCCAGTTGATAAAGTTGTCATGCATTTAAACTATAACCCTCATTGAATATCCAACACTTTAAATTTTATTATTTCATTTTTCATTTAATTTGATTAATTGAGTAGAAAGATCTTTCAAATTCATCCATCTAATAGAGTCATCTTATTAATTTTGATCATGGGAGGTGAACTTTAATTACCTATAGTATATATATTTATGATATAAATAAATAATATAAAAATGCATAAATACAAGAAGAGAGGAAGCTCAACACTTATTACATATGTACACGTGGAAGGACATAATCCACATAAATGTAAGAAATTACATGTGAGGGTAAGAATGTAAACAAACATTTTGAAGGGCATATCGGTCCGTGCACTATTCATAAGCGCAATCTCCTACTTTTTATAAGGTAGGGAAACACCATTTCCATTTGAGAGATACCATTGGCTTGGCTAATATATATTCGACTCTATCCATCATCCGCATACCTATATGAATTGTATAATTAAATACAAAAGTATGCAACTTTAAATTACATTGTTGATTTTGTTTTTTTTAGACTCATGAAGATCATTAGTTTCATCAATATCAAGACTAATAAAGAGTCTAGTACGGCCAACAATCAAAAGACATGTACCTATTGAAAGGCCAGTATAATAATTCAAAGCAATGATATTAAAGTAAATGGCATTATAGTCCTTCTATGTTTATCTAATTTAATTAAAAATAATAATATTTCCGTAATAGGAGCCAATTGATAACAGGGATGCACCTAACATACGATCCGAAGAAGAAATGAACTTGATCATGAGCAATCCTGTCCCATAAAGTTAGCCTCATTGTTTCCATCCTGCGAATCAGAATAAGTCATTTGATTAGAAAAAAATGCTTAACATGGGATAGTTTGTTGTAATTATATATAAACATATTGTAAATTGTGTAATATGCTCTTATTTTGTGTTTCAGAGTAACATATCTCTTTGATG